TTATGCTCTAATAAATTTGTTAGTCTCTAAGGTGCCACAAGTACTCCTGTTCTTCTTTTTGAGTATCGTCAAAGAAACTGAGGAACAGTTGGGCCCACTCTGCTCTTTACTCCCTGGAGTGGAGGGGTACAAGGACATTGATGGCACAGTCAATGGCCCCAATGATCACTGCTAACCAAAAGGAATTTTATTTCCGGAATGGGTTGCATGTCAACAGAAGTGGAAGCCATGTGGACAAAGCATCCCAAAGAACCACACATACTGTGAAGAAAGTAACCAATCTTTTTTGGAAGGAAAATACAAGGGAAATAATTAAAAATGTCAGACAAGTTTGGCACATCCTTAAAATGAACATTCCAGTTGAAATCCCAGGTTTGAAAAGTGATGTCACTAGGAGGTCTGCTTTTGATTTTAAAAGTTTCATTGATAGATCTTTTCCCCTAATTATACACACATTCTTTTGTAGAGTAAGAACATGATCCTGGATCAGGCCTTTAAATATATAACAGAAATGAAAAGGCAAAATGATGAACTCCTGTTGAATGGAGGGAACAATGAACAAGGTAAGTATGAAATGTTGTGAAGGTTCTTGAATTTCCCTTTCTCTTCCATCGTGCTAATGTGGCACTGGGTGTACTGTATTAGATCAGTGCTGTTTTTTCCCACAACAGTATATTAATACTCTCCTCTCCTTACTAATCCAGTGAGGATGTGGCATAGTGACATGACATCACCATTGTTCCCATCCCGTGTTCTTTCTCATTGCTACAAGGCAGCAGCTTCATCCTTGGAGCATTAATGAATTCATTGTGTTCATTATGCATTTCATTCCTGTCCTCCTTGGCTAGTGAGACTAGTAATGAAATCAGTAATTCTTTACTTCAGCTGGATCAACAAACTGGGGAATCCCAAGAGTTTATAGGGGTGGAGAGGAGAAATGGTTGCTTAAGGTAACTTGAAAACAAGAAAGTTGAGGCATCTGCCCTACTGCACATTCTTGCATCTAACTATAGCAAATTGAAGCATCCCCATCATGGTATATTGTCATTGATAAGTTTACACTTAATGCAATAATTTCTGCAGATTCCACTTTGAGTTGTTTTAATTTGACTGCCCTCGCATCTGTTGCCTGTAATTGAATAGACCAGAGTAATTGGACCAGAGAAAGCTAATATTGTGCCAGTCTTTTTAAAATGGGTAACTGGGATGACCTGGGTAATTATAGGTCTGTCAGTCTGACATTGACAATGGAGCAGCTGATATAGGACTTGATTAATCAAGAATTAAAGGAGAGTAATGTAACTAATGCTAATCAACATGGATTTATGAAAAATGGATCCTGCAAAATTAACTTGGTATCTTTTTTTTTATGAGATTACAAGTTTGGTTGATTAAGGTAATAGTGCTGATGTAACATACTTAGACTTCTTTAAGGCATTTGACTTGGTACTGCATGACATTTTGATTAAAAACTAGAAAGCTATAAAATTAACATGGCACACATTAAATTGATTAAAAACTGGCTAAGTGAAAGGTCTCAAAATGTGACAGTGAATGGGGAATTATCATTGAACAGGTGTGTTTCTAGTCAGGTCCCGCAGGGATTAGTTCCTGCTCCTATGCTGTTGAAGATTTTTATCAATGTCCTGGAAGAAAACATAAAATCATCACTGATAAAGTTTGCAGATGACACAAAACCTAGGGGAGTGATAAATAGTGAAGAGGACAGGTCACTGATACAGAGCGATCTGGATCGTTTGTTAAGCTGGACACAAGTAAACAACATACATTTTAATATGGCTAGATGTAAAGAATACATCTAGGAACAAAGTATGTAGGCCATACTTACAGGATGGGGATTCTATCCTAAGAAGCATTGACTGTGACAGAGATATGGGAAGTCATGGTGGATAATCAGCTGAACATGTGCTCCCAATGCAACGCTGTGGCCAAAAGACCTAATACGATTCTTGGATGGATAAGTAGAGGAATACTGAGTAAAAGTAGAGAGGTTATTTGACTCCTTGGCTGCTGGAATTCTGTGTCCAGTTCTGGTGTCCTCAGTTCAGGAAGGATATTGATAAATTGGAAAGGGTTCAGAGAAGAGCCACAGAAGTGATTAAAGGATTAGAAAACATGCCTTACAGTGGTAGACTCCAAAGAGCTCAATCTGTTTATTTTAACAAAAAGGTTAAGGGATGACTTCATTTACAGGCTATAAGCACCTACGTAGGGAACAAATATTTGAAAATGGGCTCCTCAGTCTCGTAGAGAAAGTTTTATAATATTATCCAATGGCTGGAAGTTGAAGCTAGACAAATTCAGAAGGGAAATAAGATGTAAATTTTTAATAGTGAGTATAGTTAACTGTTGGAACAATTTACCAAGGGTTGTCATGGATTCTCCATCACTGGAAATATTTAAATCAAGATTGGATGTTTTTCTAAAAAATAATGCTCTAGGAAAATTTTGGGGGGAAGTTCTATGGCCTGTTTTATACAAGAGATCAGACTAGATAATCACAATGGTCCCTTCTGGCCTTGGAATCTATGAAAAACCTCCCACAAATTTCAGAATTAAGTGATCTAATTACAAACATGGGGGTGGGGGGGTCTTCCTACGGGGCTACTCTGGGGCTACTGCCTCTCTACTCTCAAGTATCTTGAAAGTTGATAGCATGTTTTTTGGGACACCCCCTCCCACCCCCCCAAAAAATCATGTTAAAATATTTTGCTTTTGAGAGCAACCTTATTAAAAATAAGCACTATAAAACAGTAACCGATATCATTGAGACATTCTTTTACTGTAATTTATTGTGGTCTATGATTCTGTTTGTCCCTATAGTTTGTGCTTTTAAAGGGCTAATTTCAACTTGAAATATTGTCAGTTTTAAAAATGAATTAAAATTAATTTTAGATATCACACCTGTCCCTAGGTCCATTACAAAAATATTTTCTTGTCCATCTCTGTGTAAATACTACAGAGGGTTTAATAAAACGTAAAAATGAACTGGAAAGCCAAAAGAATACCAATGCAGTTACCAATATCAATGCAGTACAGGTGTCTGGCCACAGAGAAAAGACAAATTAATGTGCCAATGCTTTTTTCATTTGTTATAGAATTTTATCAAGTGTCCTAAACTTCCAGTATGATTTAGTCCACTACCAGATGGCCTAGTTGGAAAAACAAATGAATCTGTCTATTACAGTGGCTGAGTGCTCTGGTGTGACATTACTAAACTGAGCAGGAAGGTGGTAGGATGCCATACCGTAAAAGAGACTTGGCCATACTTAGAAGCCCTTATAAGTATGGGTTTTAGAGACAACATGTCATATTAACAGTTTATTACAGTGACACTTAGAGTCTGTCTCCCAAATCACGTGATGACAATAATCTTTTCCAGCATTTTTAATGACACCACTGTAAAGTTGTATTCTCACTGTTTTGCAGCTGAAGAGATAAAAAAGCTCCGGAAACAGTTGGATGAACTCCAGAAGGAAAATGGGCGATACATAGAACTACTGAAAGCAAATGACATTTGCCTGTACGATGATCCCACAATTCACTGGAAAGGGAATCTCAAAAGTGCAAAGGTCTCTGTTGTTATTCCTAGCGATCAGGTTCAAAAGAACATCATTGTCTATTCAAATGGGAGTCAACCTGGTGGAAATAACCAGGGGGCATCTGTCCAGGGAATAACTTTTAATGTTGGTCATAACTTACAAAAACAAACTGCCAATGTTGTACCAGTTCAGAGAACTTGCAACTTAGTGACTCCTGTGACCATTTCTGGTGTTTACCCCACAGAAAACAAGCCATGGTCTCAGACCACAGTTTCTCCATTGGCGTCCAATCAACCAGTTCCTGCTGAGAATATTCTTGAGCTTTCCACCTCAGAGAATGAGCAGGACATGCTTACCTCTGCTACTGCAAGCTCACAGAATGCTTCTCAATCTGGGACAGAACAAGAATTACAGTGTTCCTCAAGTAGCACACCACAGAATGATCAAAATGTCCCCAAAATTAAAAATGGACAAGAATGCACCAAGTTAATGAAAAAAACAATCATGCATGGCATCAGCATTCCTTCTAACACCACCGTAGAGGCCTCTCAAGTTCAACAGGTGAATGTGACCTCTTCAAGCATACAGGATCCTAGAAGTGAATTTCAAGAAAGGTTTGTCGTTTCAGCAACTGATACCACTTGTACCCCATCTGTGAGACTCTCCATTGTGGATAGCCTCTCTTCAGTAAACATCCTCAAAAGTACAGACTTATTAAGTAGTGCTGGGGTGCCTGTGACTTCTGCAATAGAAACTGTTAAGGCTGTAACAGCAATAAGCACACTGCCTGCTGGTCCATTAGACAACTGTTGGTCTTTTTCAGGCTCCTCAGGTGTTGGCACTTCTGATTTGAAAAACATGAGTAGCCTTACACGGATCCCTTCAGCTGGAATTACACAAACCACATGGACTACTTTGCAGCTAGCAGGAAACACCGTTCAGCCACTAACCCAGACACCATCCAGTGTTATGACTGCATTGTTAAACGAGCCAGTTAATGGTGCTGGTACCATATCTTCCACCCAGAACAGACATTTAGCTCCAAGCATCAGTTTGAATACTTCTGTGCCTGGAGATGGGCAGGCAGCTGAAGAAATTGTTGTTACCTTGCCCTCTTGCCCATCTGTACCTATGCAGCCATTAATCACTCAACCACAGGTTAAAACACAGCCTGCTGGAAACATCTTTCCATTGAATTCAGCTATGCAGGTAATTCAGATGGCTCAGACAATTGGGTCAGCTGTTACTGCGGTACCAGCTAATCAGAATGTCATAATTCTCCAGCCTCCTAACACCACGCCATGTCCCCCAGTGGTGAGAGCTGAAGTCCCCAGCCAAACCGTTGGTCAACAGATTGTAATTATACAAGCAGCTAATCAGAATTCTCTTCCTCTCCTCTCTGCACAGCCCCCTGGTTCTCTCAGAGTTCCTGTGAATGGAGCCAGTCCAATAGCAAGCTCTAACAGCTCTGTGCAAAATACCTCTGCTCCACAAACTTTTGGAGGGAAACATCTTGTCCATATATTACCAAGACCACCTTCTTTACCATCTTCTAGTGCTACACAAACTTTTTCAGTTACAATGTCAAATCAACAACAGCCTCAGACTATTTCTTTAAATGGACAGCTGTTTGCATTGCAGCCTATGATGTCCTCATCTGGAGCTTCAAATCAAGCCCCTATGCAAATTATTCAACCTACCACTAGCGAAGATCCGAATACCAATGTTGCCCTCAATACATTTGGTGCTTTAGCTAACCTCAATCAGAGCATATCACAAATGGCTGGGCAAAGCTGTTTACAGCTGTCCCTTAGTCAGCCTACTAATCCAACAACTGCCAGCAGCCAGATTGCCCCAATTAACGGTGTTTCATTACCAACTTCTGCAGCATCTTCCATAGCTACTGAAAGTTCAACAGTGTTATCCAGTGCTTCTAATTCTATAAACACTTCTCCAAAAAAAGCTTCTGCGGGTTTGCCATCAAACATAAAATCAAAAAGGACAAACAAAAAGACAAGTACTAAAAAACATTTAGCAGCCAACAGCAAAGTATCATGTCCAGTGAATCCTTGCAGAGATGCAGGGAAGCTTGATTGCACTACTGTGGAAGCTACAGCAGAGCATTCAAATGGTGAAGGACTGCTTGAAAACATGTCTGTAGTATCACAAGCAAACAGCATGGCAGCACCAACTGATTTAAGCATTTCTGACTGTCAATCCAAAGAGACTCTGAGTTCTGAACAGATGGTGAGTTTACCAGAGCTGAGTTCAACAGAGGTACCGAGTTCATCACCGCTAGAATCTGTGATGTCAGAACAGTTTGTACTGGTTCCATCAAGTTCCAAAGATTCCACTGCTCTTCTGCAAACATCTCGGAATAACCCGTTACCTGACTCTATGTTGCCAGAATCTTCCAAATCGTGTGTTACCACCAGCATCTCAATGTCCTCTGCCACTGAAACACATGTGACAATTTCTCAGGTTTCTGGGGCATCAGCACCACAAAACAGTGTAACGACAGACCATGCTTCTGAGGCAGAAAGCATTTCAGAGACCTGCGGTGTTGGGCAAGACTCATCAATTGTGATGCAAACCACAGACTTGTTAGAGGGACAAGGTCTAACCAAAATGCTGTCTGACCTTACTAAAGAAAGAACAGCGATGCTAAAACCCTCCTTTTCGCTTCAGGTGGAACATTCTGATTTCCCCCCAGAAAACTCCAAAACAATAAAATCAAATGTTGATTTGCCTGAGAAGCAGGAACTTTTGTTAATGAACACTGAAGGTGACACTCTCATGCAACATCATTCCTGCATTTCCGATCAAGAGGTTGTTAGTGGTTCTCTTATTGCTAGCAGGCAGGCGGACTCTCCAATGTCAACTAGCTCTGGGAGTAGTCGTGGCTTCTCAGTTGCATCCATGTTGCCAGACACATCTAGGGAAGATGTTACCAGCAGCACATCAACAAATACATGTAACAGTTGCACTTTTTCAGAGCAAACTGACATTGTAGCTCTTGCAGCAAGAGCTATTTTTGACCAAGAGAACCTTGAAAAAAGTGGAGGGGGAATACAAGTTAATTTAAGGGATGCTGCCGCTAAGTCTTCTGAAGTTGCACCTTTGGAAAGTGAGCAGCAGCTTTTTAAACCACAAACAGTCAAAGCTAATGTAAGACAGCTGGAAGCAGCACCAAACAAATTCCATGCTCAGGATCCAGTGCAAGCAAATGTTGATAGACCAGTGGAAAAACCAAGCTGTTCTGTAGGAGTGGAAACATCAAATACTGTACAGATTTCAACTTCCCAGTCACCAAATGTAACCAGTTTAAGTGTAAATAATCTCATACATCAAAGTCGCATCATCCACCCCCTTGTAAGTTGTTCAGGTTTATCCCAGCCTTCAGAGCAAGCAGCTGTTCCCGCCACAGGGATTCGGTCCATATCATCTAGTTCCTATGTCAGTCAATCTCCGGGATCAGCTATGATGACTGAATATGCTCAAGATCAACTGAGTGCTATTAGGGCAAACACCATGCAGGCTCCACAGATGCAGGAACCACACTTAAAGCAGCAAAACCATGAAAGTCGCAAAGACTCTGCTAAACGTGCTGTCCAAGAGGACCTTCTGCTTTCTTCAGCGAAGAGGCAGAAGCAGTGTCAGACAACGCCTGTCAGGCTTGAAGACGTGGCATTGACGAACCGAACACCAGACAGTATTGCTGACCAAACTCAAATGTTGGTTAGTCAGATCCCTCCTAATTCATCCAATCCAGTTGTGTTAGTGAGCAATCAAGGGCACACAGATGGTCTTAACAGATTATTCCCATCCAACAACAACTTTGTGACCTCTGCTTTGAGGCAAACTGAAGTTCAGTGCAGTTCTCAGCCATCCATTTCAGAGCAGCAAGGTCAGACTGGAGGTCAGCATCTGCAAGCTATACAACATGTACCTGCTCAAGGCGTATCTCATCTTCACAGTAACCACCCATACTTAAAACAACAGCAGGCTGGACAGTTAAGAGAGAGGCATCACTTATATCAGCTACAGCACCATGTTCCTCATGCAGAGAGCTCAGTCCATTCTCAATCCCACAGTGTCCACCAACAAAGAGCAATACAGCAAGAGGTACAAATGCAAAAGAAACGAAGCCTTGTCCAGGGAACCCAAGCCAGTCAACTTTCTTTACAGCAGAAGCATCATGGAAATGATCAAACTCGGCAAAAAAGTGGACAGCCTCATCCCCACCACCAGCAAATACAGCAGCAAATGCAGCAGCACTTTGGAGCTTCCCAACCTGAAAAGAACTGTGAAAACCCTTCAACAAGCAGAAACCATCATAACCATCCTCAGAGCCATCTAAATCAGGATATTATGCATCATCAGCAACAGGATGTTGGCAACAGACAGCAAGGCTCAGGGGTTTCATCCGAACACGTATCTGGACATAATCAGATGCAGAGACTTCTGACCGCCAGGGGCTTGGAGCAACAAATGGTGTCCCAGCCAAGTATTGTAACTAGGCCATCAGATATGGCCTGTGCCCCACACAGACAAGAAAGAAACAGAGTTTCTAGTTACTCTGCAGAGGCACTTATTGGGAAGACGCCTTCTAATTCAGAACAGAGAATAGGGATATCCCTTCAAGGCTCTAGGGTTCCAGACCAGCTTGAAATGAGAAGTTACCTTGATGTGTCTAGGAATAAAGGTTTGGTAATTCATAACATGCAGAGTCGTATATCTGTAGACCATGCGGTTGGCTCAGAAGTTCAACGGCTTTCTGATTGTCAGACATTCAAACCAAATGGGGCCAGCCAACAGCCAACAGGCAATTTTGATGTACAGGCCTCAAGAAATAGTGAAATTGGTAACTCTGTATCATCCCTCAGGGGCATGCAATCACAAGCTTTTCGAATTAGTCAAAATACTGGGCCACCCATAGAGAGACAAAAGAGATTGCCCTATCAACCGGTTCGGGGTATTCCAACGGGAAATGCTCTTCCGCCAAGGGACAATGAAAATTCATGCCACCAAAGTTTTATGCAGAGTTTACTTGCCCCTCACCTTGGAGATCAGGTTAGTGGAAGCCAAAGATCAATTTCGGAACATCAGAGGAATACACAGTGCAGTGCATCCTCCACAATTGAATATAATTGTCCCCCAGCACGAGAGACCGTCCACATTCGAAGAGATGGTGAAGGTCAGAATAGAGAAAGTTGTGACATGTCTATGGGTACAATTAATACTAGGAATAGTTCTTTAAATATTCCTTTTTCAAGTTCTTCCTCCTCAGGAGATATTCAAGGTCGAAACACAAGCCCAAATATTTCTGTACAGAAGTCCAATCCCATGAGAATGACTGACAGTCATGGAACCAAGAGCCACATGAATACACCTGTTTCTAGCAACATGCATGGAGTTGTCCGTCCAGCTCTCCCACACCCTGCTATCTCTCATGGGAATGCTGAGCAAGGGCAACCATCTGTTCGTCAGCCAAATTCTTCAGTTACTCAGCGATCAAGGCATCCTCTGCAGGATAATAGTGGTTCTAAAATCCGCCAGCCTGAAAGGAATCGAACTGGAAATCAAAGACATGGAAATGTATTTGACCCTAGTCTGCCCCATCTTCCCTTGTCTACCGGTGGCAGTATGATCCTTGGGCGCCAACAGTCTACAATAGAAAAAAGAGGCAGCATTGTCCGTTTTATGTCTGATGGCCCTCAAGTGTCTAATGATAATGCAGCCCCTGACCAGCATGCTTTGTCTCAAAATTTTGGATTCCCTTTTATTCCAGAGGGTAGTATGAATCCACCAATAAATGCCAATACTTCTTTCATTCCACCGGTTACTCAGCCTAGTGCCACTCGAACACCAGCCCTAATCCCAGTAGATCCTCAAAATACACTGCCATCTTTCTATCCGTCTTATTCTCCTGCTCATCCTACTCTGTCCAATGACATTTCTATCCCTTACTTTCCCAATCAAATGTTTCCTAATCCAAGCACAGAAAAGCCCAGTAGCGGAGGTTTAAACAATCGATTTGGATCCATTTTATCTCCTCCCAGACCAGTTGGTTTTGCCCAGCCAAGTTTTCCTCTTCTCCCAGATATGCCGCCAATGCACATGACCAATACGTCACACTTATCCAATTTTAACTTGACATCTTTGTTTCCAGAAATAGCCACAGCTCTTCCTCCAGATGGTTCGGCAATGTCGCCTTTGCTTTCAATAGCAAACACGTCAGCTTCAGATTCTTCCAAGCAATCCTCAAACCGACCTGCCCACAACATAAGCCATATTCTAGGTCATGATTGTAGTTCAGCTGTATGAAAATTAATAGACTGACGTTTAGTCTGAGGGGTTATGTTTATATTAAAAAAAAAAAGGCATCCTTGAAGAGACCATTCATAGCATCACTGTTTGTCTAAAAGTATGTATATATGTGGGTACTTCTGTATTAATATACATACTGTATATCCACCCACTTACTAACTTTAAAGCACCAGTGCCTATAGCAATTCTTATTAACAGTAAGAATGCAACACCTAGAGCTGTGCAAATATTGAATGTTGATTTTACAGCATTCAAAAATCTGATCGTTCCAGAATAACCGACACTTTTTCAGCTCTTGGATCTAAAGTACCAAGTAAAACATTAGCCTTGTGGGAGATGAGACTGGAGGAAATAAGTGCTTGAGTTTTTATTTTAATTCTTGGTTAATTAACTTGTCCAGAAGATAAAGTGAACTGTTTAGAAGTTGGGTTTGTTTGTTTTTGTAAAGTATCTTAAAGAGCCTCGCACATACCTGGTCTTTAAGTCAAGTTGGTATCAAGCCAGTTTTAGTTGATAAAGACATTGGCTTTTTGTCTGTTAAAGCTTGTGACATACATTCTAATCTTGAGTTAATCAGGTAAAAATCTGTGTGTATGTTTCCAGGGTCAGCTTCTGAGCAGCAGTAAAACATTTGTTATTTTAAAACATTGTTTCCCTTAAAACATGATTTGCTGTCACTTTCTGTGGAGAAGAATTTTATTCAGATTTGTATGTGGAACGGCATCAGCTCCTGCTGAACAGTGTATAGAGTTTTTTAATATAATTTATTACCCCTTTTAGTGTAATCAACATAGACACAGCCGGCATCTGTCAGTTGTTTGTATGCTGCAAGTTACCTCAAGGTATCTTCCCTATACCTTGTTTAGCACTTTCTTTGAGTCTTTTTTCCCCCTTGTAATCCATGTCCTTGCATCTATGTCCGCTTTCCTCCATTCTTTGGATTAAGGACCCTTCCTGTAATTCACAGCAAATGGGCAAACTACTATGCCTACATGGAACCCCAGTGAAGGTAAAAGGGCTCCCCTGTGGACACAGCAATCTGCCCACTCACTGTCAATGGCAGGATCAAGGCCTAATTTAATATTAATACTTTGCACTTAAATAGCACCTTTTAGCTAACCCAGTGTGATTGTGGGTGGGGCAGAGAGATGAATGTGTCAATTTTTAAACACACAGCATATAGGGAAATTCTTTCTGATTTGTGGGGGAGAGCGAGAGGGACATGTTTACTGATTTTGTTTTGATTTTCTTTTAATATTTGCAAAAGAATTGTACACTGTTTGGTCCCATTTCATTAAGTGAAAATGAGGATGGACCTAGGTAAGTGGTATTTATTTAGTGACTACTGCAACATAATTATCTTGAAGGAAGGCAGAAGTCTTTTTTTGTATTCATCCAAAACCATCACTCCAGATTTTTCTTATTTTTGCTTCCACCAGCCCTCCTATCCCTATCTCCCTAAACTATAGGATCATGCTCGGGCCACAATGAGGGGTAACAGCCAGAATTTCTCTGAGGCATCCTTCCTGTGCAGACCAGGTGCAGGCAAAATGCTTCAAGCAGCACTAGGTGTACTGAGCTGTAGAGTGCTCTATGCCTGTATCTTTATTCCCACTCATCATTCTGCTCCTGAAAGCTGCAGCATGATCTCCTCCTGTGCCTGCTGCCAAATGCTTGAGGGATGGGGGAGGCCAGGCCACACTCCATTGTGGCTATGAACCATCACAGCCTAGTCCATTCTCATTTGTGGATGTGCTTGAAAAAAGGAGTCTCTTTGTTCACCCCCAGCTGTGGGCCCACATGGATGTAGCCAGTTTTGTTGGTAGACTGAGGACCTGATTCTCATATACAGTAGGCCTCTTTGCGCTGCTCTGGCAGAGTAAAGGAGCCTTAAAGTGGACGCGAATGTAAGGAGACCTTAGTGTATATGAGAATCAGGCCCTGTGTCTATAATTTGTCCTGAGGGTGATTTCAGTGGTAACACTATATATGGCCTGGTATGAATGGCTGTGCTTCAGCCTGCAAAGTAAAGGGAAATGTCTCAAACTTGGAATCCCATTCTAATTCAAATGGGAAGTATCTCGAGGGAACTGAACGTATTTGGTGTTTCAAGTTTCAATGTTTGTCAGAAGCAACGAATGAAATAAAAATCGCAAAAGTTTATTTATGTTTTTGTTCCATTTTCAGGTTACACTGAAAGGTAGAACCTATGAGAGGTCAGTGCCACAGCCTGAGGCAACTGGTTTATGCAGAATGATAGGGGTAGGAATTGCCACCAGTTTCAGCTTTGTGACTAACTGGACATCCTAAGGGCTTTATGAGGTTCAGCTAATCACTGTTTGTCTGTAGTTTTCAAATACTGTATTGTCCCATGAGGGCTGCCTTGTGCCGTGGGACAAGTTCCATAATGTTGAACAGTGCCATTGGGCCTGCTTCATGAAGTCAGGAGAACTGAGACAGCTTATATAGGCATTTATACCTGTGAGAAGTGAGTGTAAAACACAGCCATGCTGATGTGGTAGTATTTTGCACTCACAAATGTAAGTGGCTACACAAGAGAGAAAGCAGTGGATGATTGGGTCACAGTTCATAAAATGAGATTAATTAAAAAAAAAAAAAAGTTCCTAGGTGTTTCTTTATTCCCACTCATCATTCCATGCATTCATATAGAACTGACAGCTTCAGGTTGCAGTTTCCACACTACAAAGTCTCAATTGCTTCACAAGGCTTCTGGAAGTTGAAGTGAATGTGTGAAATTAGTAAGGCAAATTCATCATTCATATAACTCTGTTGACTTCACTGAAGTTATACCAGGGTTAAATTAGGTCCTGTGTTTTTCTCAGGGGATGCAGGACAATCTTTTTGTTTGTTGTGTATCATATTCTGAATGGATGTGAACTAATAGCATAGTAATTTTACAAATAACCTAAACTTTCCCCCCACACCCCCTGCCCACCTACAAAGAATGTAGAAAAGAGTGTCCCCATTTCATATGACACCAATAGTCTGAGTATTAATACAGGTGTCATTAGTGACATAAAGACCCTGTAACTTTGCAGGAACCACACATTCCTGCGGCACATGGCTCAAAAGTAACTATCAAGTAACCTATGCTCTTTAGAGAACTTAATCCTGCAGTACAGTTACAGAACACGGTAGTTCCTATGTAATCACAAAAACAACAAGGAGTCTGGTGGCACCTTAAAGACTAACAGATTTATTTGGGCATAAGCTTTCGTGGGTAAAAAACCCACTTCTTCAGAGGCATGGAGTGAAAATTACAGATACAGGCTTAGATATACTGGCACATGAAGAGAATGGTGTGTCAGTATATTTATGCCTGCATCTGTAATTTTCACTCCATGCATCTGAAGAAGTGGGTTTTTTACCCACGAAGGCTTATGCCCAATAAATCTGCTAGTCTTTAAGGTGCCACCAGACTCCTCATTGTTTTTGTGGATACAGACTAACACAGCTACCCCTCTGATACTTGATATGTAATCACAATGCCACTCTGTAGTGACTTTTGTAGAAACTACTTACTGAGTGCAGAAGGGGGAAATTCCATCTGTCTTTTGCCCATCTTGTTCACAATACTTTCTTTTGAACTCTAACCAAATTCCAGTGTAAGCCATATATATGTATATATAAAATGCCATATTACGCTAATAGTTAAGAGTAGTTAAATGATGTTTTAACTTATCCTGCTGACATTTATCACATTAAAGTTGGCATATTAATGGTTTGTGTAAGATCAGAATTGGCTGACTGCTGCGAAAAGAAACAGTAGCATCAAAACAAACTAGAAAGCTTGATAATGGACACTCTCCTTCTGAAAGGGCCATGATAAATATCCCTTCGCCATTCTGTTGCACTCCATCCTTTTTCTGAAAAGGGGGTCAATGTTTGGCTGCTTAATCAGTCTGAATGGGTGCATGGTGTTTATCTGTTTGCCTGAAAGATTGCCTGTTCTTCTGAAACAGCTTTTTCTGGATTTCCCTCTTAAAGGGCTTGTCATTTTCTACCTGGAGAAATGGCCCTGCACTTGCTTTCCTAACAGCAACCTCCCAGTGACCAGCTAGATTGTTACAAAACATACATTCCTTATGGGTGCCTGAATTAAGGATTTACTGCCCACCTCACCTACTTTAAGGTGGCAATCTAGAACTAAATCAATCTATCTACTTTTTCCTCCACATGGTCCTCTTCTGTTTGTTTGTTTGTTTTTAATTATCCACAGGAACAGCAGTCAAAAGCCAAATTGCAGAGAGCCAAATTCTGCTCTTATTTAATCCAAATTGACAACAACGTAACTTCACTGAGTTACTCAGGCTTCACGCTTGTGTAAATGAGAAGAAAGTTTGTCCCTAACGTAAATCTATCAACAGGAATTGGCTGGTCATAACGTAGTTCTGATCCTTTGGGACAGGCAACCAAGTGCTAGGTCTTGACAGGTGACTGTGTGCTTAATAATGGCTAGGACACAGGTATAAACTAAAAAGTTACCTTTTTTTTTATTGTGCTAAGATGGCATTGTATGAAAGAAGACATTTCTCATCTTACTCCCCTAGGAGATTGTATACACGGAAACATAGCCTGGAGTAGTTATCCTTATTCTGCACTACCTCCCTGCCTATATGCTCTTATTCTGCATTGAAGAGTGCCTTTGGGCAGTTTAGCTTAAAAGGCATTGAGTGCAGAATGAGAGTGTCCACACAGAGAGCTACTGTAGAGTAGCTGTTGTGCTTCAAATTCACAACCTAGCTTATTTTGCAATAGCTTCCCTCTGTAGACAAGCCCTAAGCTTTCTCTATATATTGCCTTAAGGTAAATATATATGTATCCTCTCCAGTAGACTAAGAGCACAGGCTCCCCTAAGGCACCTTTTTCTATTATTATTTGTTGCTCACACCCAGGGCTCATGGTTTGTCACAGGATTCACAGTTGTCAGGTGGTTTTGGTTAAAGTTGATAGCGTGAAGAAATGCAGAAGAGAAAGCAATCACCTCTCTCTCTCTCTCTCTCTCTCCTCCTCTCTTGTTGCTGCTGCTGGACTAAACATCATTCATCAGTAGCGGGGATTTAAATTTAATTAAATAGCTTTTAACAGTTTTTATTGCAACTGAAGATTAGTTTGATTAAAATAACAGGACCAGGACACTTGGACGGAGAGATATATAGATGTGGCCAAACTGTAACTGTGTAGGTGACCGTGAGAAAGGACTAGCCCTGCTGGCCAGTGTGGTCTTTCTGCAAACTTTCCAGTGCAAGCTGGGGGCAGGTGTTTCTGTTCATTTTGGGATTGGCGAGAGGAAAGACTTAACATCTCAAGTACTTTCCGTGGGAACAAGTATTTCTGGTTTCTCTGACACTGAAATGGTTATGTTTAGGTTTCAGATTAATGGGAAGACTTTGATGTAAGGCAAATCTTCAACATATTATTTTTTGGACAAGTCCATTTGGAAAAGGGGCTTCCATAACTTCTACTGACCAGATAACTCTATTTTTATAATTATTACATATCTTCAGTGTATATTAGAGACCAGAAATTCAGAGGCATTATGCAAACTGAGAGCACCTTTTTTTAAATAGCAACATGAGTTCAGCATGTTCAGTTAAAATATAAATAGGAATTTCTACAGGCAAATGTTCCCCTCATCAAATATCTATGGCACCAACAGCCACTTGGCCTCTGTTTCTACTAAGTATCAATTGACAATTAAAGTATTTTTAGAATCAATTTAAAAATTCCTCTCCCCCCAACATACCCCTGAAACTGGAATTTTTTCTTCCTCATGAGTGAGCACTATTTTGTTGTCAGAGGGTGCTAGCTATATTTTGGTTACTTTTTTATTATTGAAGGGGAAAGCTACAAGCAGAATTACCTGAATTTTACACAGCAAAGAATAATAATAAAGAATTCTGAGCCTATCAACCTTCACAGTATTTCTTCTTTTCACACTGTGATGGTATTGCCACATCTGGCAAGCACTGTGTATAAGTTTCAGCTTCCCCTAGGTCAGTTCAACAAACAATAGCTAAAGGACATAGGGAGTAGGTCACATCCACTTTAGTGCAACGTTTGTCTCCTTTTAACATGCATCCTGTGAGGAATCTTGAAGAATCAGGGTAGGACCAGGTTCAATTTGAAGCAGACTATATAATAATACTAACAGTTTTCATCAAAAGAGTTGGTCTCAAAGTGTCTTACAAAAATGAGCAAGTATTTATCCCCATTTTAGTAGCTAGAGAAACCTCATACCCAAAGAAGTGAAGTGATTTGCCCAAGATCACAGACTGTCAGTAACAGACTCGGATTAGAACACAAATCTTTCAACTCCTATTCCTCTGCTCTGATCACTAAACTGTGGTGTACACATCTCTGCAAAATGCCCTGGTATTCTCTGTGAGCAGTACCGCCTGAATTTTGCAGATTTCCTACTGCACTTTAAAGCTGTGCTCTGCTGCCACCATGATAAGTGACTGTAATGCTATTTCAGAAAGCCAGTGGCCTGGCAGCATCCCAGAGACCCAGTGACTACCCAGAGAAAAGAACTCAAATTGTTATTTTTGACCTACTGTTGTCCTTTAATCTTATTCCGAGCCATTCTTGACCCAGGTCCAGAGGCTATATCACCAACAGACTATTTTTCTGTAGTTTGCTTCTATATAACTATATTTAGCCAAACACTTACTGAGAGCTGTGATTCTCCTTTCTCTATCCCCCGTTTCCCCTTTTGGAGAACTGGTTTGTCCTAAATCGATCTTCCTTTGACTTGAGACAGTTGGGAGGAAAGGGTGCAGAAGTAAGATCAATTTATACCAAATTGTTCCAGCGTTTGTTTTGATGTCAAATGGTATAAAGGCCCCTATTAATTAGTTGTGGCTACACTTGGCTTTTCTGGTAGTATTTCCAACTCTTTCTACCACTGGTCCAGCATTCTCGGTCGTAACGTGGGCGGGAGCGCTAGTTTTTTAAGCACCATGTTGTCTAATGCTGCTCAAAGCAGGTCTACGTCACCAGCAGAAGGCCAGCAGCTGCCAACACCCTATCTGCACTAGCACTCCTGCAGTTCCTAACACCCATGACAGCTGAGCCTATTGTATCAATGGCTGGAAATTTTAGCAAAAATTTCCTGTGGCAAACAAGGCCATGGTGTCACAAAACCTTCTTCTATTCATGGTAATGACAGTTACTTTAAGTGTGCAACTTGTAAAGCAACATATTACTTGATTATTTGCAGATAACCATATTTTTCATTGATAGAGTAATATAATAAGAGTTATCATTTGCAATGCACTTGTATCTGTAAATGGGTGGCCTTCTTTAGTGGCTAAATGTTCATGTGTACACACAACTATTCCGCATAAGAGAAGTTTAGGTATTTCCCCATCCCTCACTACATTGTCCCATTTTCCCAATCTTAATATAGACTCCAACTTTGTCATGCCATTCTCTTGCATAGCCCACAAACAGGAGGATGACTAAAATGGTAATGTACGCTACCCATTTCCCCACAAACACAGTGAGAAGGAATGCCAATATGGATTTCACCACAGGAAAGTAATCAAAGATGCTCTTGATTTCCATAACATAATATTTTTATTTATACTCAGTCCAGAATTTTCTGCTGTATACAATCGGCTACAAGCTGTACA